AAGCTCGTGACATTTGCAGACGATGTGTCCATAGTAATTGTGGGGAAATATCTGGAGGAGATTAAACTTTGTAGGGGTTATATTACTTTCAGCGGCCAATGATAATAATTTTTTGAAAAAATCTTAATTCAACAAACTAATTATTTTGAACTCTTTTCACACCTTCCATGAACCAATACCAACAAAAAATGACACCCGATATATGTCTGTGGGCTATCTCCAACACCCCACCTAGAGGTTTCGCTGCGCATGCGCGCAGCTCTCTCTACGTTTGGACTTCTGCATGTGCACATGTTCTTTTTCTGCTTCTGCTCCATTTCTATTATTTCTACATAAATAAAGTAAGAACTCCAAAAATTTTTAAACATGAATTTCACAGAATTTTTAATAGCTTCAAACTCAGAAAAAACTTTGATTCCATTAATGATAAAATACAACATCTTGACTGATAAATTAGAATGTCCCACATGTGAGTCTGATTTGAGGTTAAATCTAGACAGTTTGTACTCCAGATGCAGACGCTCTGTTTTGTCAAATAGAAAACACAATAATAATAACGAACGTATAAATTGCAATTTAAAAAGGGCGAAGGCCATATAAGGCTTAGCCTAATCAATGATCGACACTTCATAGGTAAGACAGATAGGATTCCTAGGAAGTATCAGATCAGGAAAACTTTCAGAACGAGTATACCACCCAGACAGGAGTGGCTAGACTCGAAACGTAAACCAGGACCAAGAGAGGACTACTAGTTTACGGAGGGCTCTGGCTTCAATGAAAGTTTTGGGGCAGGCATCTACCGTCTGAAAAATGGCTTCGGAGAGAGTTTTCCGCTAGGCCATCTTTCACCCGTCTTTCAAGCAGAGATGCTGGCCATACTTAAGTGTGCCGACTATCTGAACGCGAGAGACACAAAAAAGATGAAAATATTCATCTGCAGTCACAGCCAGGCGGCGATACACGCCCTGGAAAAACCCACTACAGAGTCACAGGTGGTGTGGGAATGCATGCAGGCATTGGACACACTGGGTAAAAACAACCGGGTCACCGTAACCTGGGTGCCAGGTCACCATGGGATTCTGGGTAATGAAGAGGCAGATAAGCTGGCCAAGGAGGGTACAGAAAGTGTGCCCTCACACGGCCTGCTTGGCATGCCCTTCGCAGTGGGAAAAACTCTTATTAAAGATCATTTCCAGCGGGATCATGTCAGGCGTTGGGAGAAAGTTGCGACCTGCAGACAAGCGAAACTGCTTATAAGAGGGCAACTAAGAGTTAGGACAAGAACGCTTCTGGAGTTGCACAGAGGGGATCTGAGGGTAGCAGTAGGGCTCCTTACGGGTCATACAGCTCTCAGAGCTCATCTGTTCAAGATGAAACTTGCAGAACAAGAAGACTGCAGACTGTGCGGAGGCGATAAGGAGGGCGTCATCCACATTTTATGTGAATGCCCCCTATTAGCACTCCGTCGCTATAAAATCTGGGGCCAGGCTTTCCTGAAACCAGAGGACTTACAACAAGCGGCTGTCACCAGCCTTATTAGCCTAGTGAGAAACACAGGGCTGGGGCTGTGTGACTGACCGAAACTAAGGCGGAAGTTACAAAAGATCGTATGATTTAGGTGACTCTGGGCGCTTTAAGTGACCAGCCGCACTTTTTCTATTCTATTCTACATCAGGTGGTAGTGTCAGTTTCAGAAGCCCATCGTACATGATATTCCGCAAGAGTGGAACTAATAGCGAGCCCTTAGGTACCCCTCCAGTGACTGTACTCTTTGGGCCCACACTCCGTGTCGTATTTGAGAACCCTATCAGTGAAGTTATCTTCGACCATCTTCCGCAGGTATTCAGGTACGTTGAACTCTGCCAGAGCCTCCATGATACAGTCCCACCTGACTGAATTGAAGGCATTCTTGATGTCCAGTATCGCCACTAGGCAGTACTTTTTAGTGCCCCTGAGTCATCTTGTCTCTGAAATCGCTTCCCTGGCAGTAGTGACGATAAGGTTGATGGCATCGAGAGTGGATCGACCTCTCCGAAACCCATATTTGTTGTCGGCCAACAGCGGCTCGACTGCTGCTTCTATTCGCATATGGATGACGCATTCAAAAATCTTGCCAGCGGTATCGAGCATACAGAGGGGACGATATGATGATGATTCGTGATGGTAATACTCCTGGTGGACCTCGGTAGACGAGATTGCCTCGGAGGCCGGTTTTCGTCGAACCTCTCGTGAAGGTTCGACTGGCGCCCAACAAACGAACGATAGAGATGGCTAAAAAGTAGTTTGGATTTTTCCTGGGTGAACAACTCAGGATAATATCCTTACAAAATACTATCCGGAAGAGTACTATCCGGAGGCAGTGACGCGCGATGAACGAAGCGGTAACTGGTGGTTGAGAGTGTGCGTCGTCGTAGCGTGGGTAACGTAGTTCCACCCTGGTCAGATCAGCCTCTCCACGTCCCAGGCTCTGAGGAGTCCCGGCTGATTCGCATTGACTCTGAAAACTCTCCCGAGTCGAAATACTCGGGAGGAGAATGAACACTGGAAGAGTTGAAAGACTCTCCAGAAGGGGCATGAATTTTAATTCATTATGGGGACTATGCTGTAAGGCATAATACACGGCTTGCAAAGGCTCATGAGGAAGTGATGGTAATACTCCTGGTGGACCTCCCCCACTCTACTCTATCACACTGATGTTAGCTAGGAAATCCATTGTCCAGCCAAAAGTCCTCTGGGTAGACGAGAGTGCCTCGGAGGCCAGTTGCTTTCCCTTTCCATTTGTAAGGATATTTTCCAGGGTTGTTCATGCAGGAAAAATCCAAACTACTTTTTAGACGTCTCTATCGCTCGTTTGTTGGGCGCCAGCAGAACCTTCATGGGAGGTTCGACGAAAATCGGCCTCCGAGGCACTCTCGTCTACCCAGAGGACTCTTTGGCTGGACAATGGATTGCTTAGCTAACATCAGCGTGATATGGTAGAGTGAGCGAAGTCCACCACGAGTATTATCACATCCTCACGAGCCTTTGCAAGTCATGTATTATGCCTTACAGCATAATCCTCATAATGAATTAAATCCATGTCCCTTCGCCAAGAGTCTTTCAACTCTTCCAGTGTTCATTCTCCTCCCGAGTATTTCGACTCGGGAGAGTTTTCAGAGTCAAATGCGAATCAGCCAGGACTCCTCAGAGCCTGGAACGTTGAGAGGCTGATCTGACCAGGGTGGAACTACGTTACCCACGCTACGACTACCCACACTCTCAACCACGCGTTACCGCTTCGGTCATCGCGCGTCGCTGCCTCCGTATAGTACTAAACCGTCGGCGTATGGTCGGGCCGACAGGAGGATTTCTCTACTCCCGGCCCACGAACCCATACGTCTCGAATCGTTCCGGCGAGGATAGATAACGCCGGAAACAACAAAGTCGTTACTTCGCGTGCCGAAATAACTCCTTTTTACTAGCAGGAGATGCAGAGGCACCCCCTCACGCTCGCCGCCAACGGTTATTCACCGAGGTGACGTGGAGTCCAAAATTCCTTATCATGGCTTCTTCAACTATTCCTCCATCCAGGACACCGAGAGATTTTTCTAACCTCTCGGTTCAAGCGCTCGCGTGCGTCCGGCGGCATTTTCCCTTTCGGGAGTCACACAAGCCTCTACTGTTTCCACTTGGCAGGGAAGACGCCTTCTCTAAGACACTCGTTGTATGCGTCCAGGAACAGCCCTGGCTTCGCACGGATGGCTAATTTTAGTGCAACATTGGGCACTCCATCTAGCCCAGGAGCCTTGGTGTTACCAACTCTGATACACACCTCCATCAATTCCTCCTCGGTGATTGGTGGAACAAAAACATTCTCTCTCCCTTCGCTAACACGACGGAGCTCTGGCTGTTGCGGGAACAGCACCATGACGATCTTCTTCATGAGTTCTGGGGACGGAGGCGATGGCATCGATTGACTTTTTAATCGCGTCAACACGATCTTATATGGCCGGCCCCATGGGTGCACCCTCAACTTCTGTAAGATTGCACCATATGGCTTTGTTGAGCTTTCTCCGTGCCTTATAACGCATGTCCAACTCCTCGAAGTTTGGCTTTTTCCGACCACGTTGGGACAATCTTCTCGCTGCGTTGCAGACCTTCCGCAAGACGGCGATGGTGTTATTCCACCAGTAGACCAGTGGGCCGATTGCTACCTCGTTTCCTGGGCATGATGGCATCTCAGGCTCCCGTAACTCTCCTCACAATGTCGTCTGTCTTCTCCTTAGCATTTCTACCACTGATTGGACAGTCGTCAAAAGCGACTAGGAATGAGCACGGATCAAATGTGCTCACTTTCCAGCCAATTGCGTTGGTCTTCTTGGGCGCTGGTCCGATCCTCTGGCTGGTGTGTACCTCGCAGAGTATCGCCCGATGATCGCTACCAGTGTAGATGTCGGTTACCTTCCATGAGCAGTTTCACTTTGCAAGGTTCACTGCTCACGAAGGTAAGATCCACTATTGAGCTCGCCTCTCCCCTCGTGAAGGTCGATTTATTACCGCTGTTGAACAATACCACATCCATTGATGACATTGCTTCCAGGATGGCTTGTCCTTTGGGGTGGGTCTCCTTACTGCCCCAGTCAACTGCCCAGGCATTGAAGTCTCCGGCTATCGTAACCGGTGAGTGCTGCTGCGCATCCTCGGTCAGACAATCCGGAAGTCCGTGAACTTATCGATAGAAAGACTTGGCGGGACGTAGCAGCTGTAGAAACAGGTTCTATCAACTTTTGCCTTCACAAAGCCGTTCTGCATACTACTGGTGGTGCTCTGAAAAGGTCGCCTCCCACAAGACCAGATAACAGCCTTTTTACTGCTGTCAGTGACCCAGATTTGGGTGCCAAGATGTTGGTATGGCTCTGAGATCATCACAAGGTCAGGTCTCAGCCCCGGCACCGTTTGCATGAGCAGATCGTGTTCGACAGTGATTGAGATTGAGCTGTAGTAACTTGCCGTTTCTCGGTTTATAATTGTCTTCTATTGGTGAACTTCTGGAGTGCCTCCTTGTAAGCTGGGCATCTACTGCAACCATCAATGTGGGCACAATTCTCCGAGCTGTTTTTCTCGATGCACAAAGCACACCGCGGCTCCTTCTTGGAGTCCTTAGACTTGTGACAATCCTCTGCACACTTGACACAGAGTTTCGAGCGATCGACCGTACTGTTACATTTCGTAGCAAGATGTCCATAGTGCCAGCATTTGAAACACGTGATCGGTCTCTCCACTCTTCTTATGCGGCAGTTCACCCACTCTATCTTGATTTTTCCATGCTCCTCCAGGATCTTCTGCACTGCGGTCGATGCTAGGGTCACTGAGGCAGTTTTGGTTCCTCCATAAGCCTTACGTAAGGACTTGATAGCTCGTAGACTGATGTCGCATTGGTCTCTAGCTGCTGCTTTCAGTGCTTCGAGCACCTCCTCCTTCGTCGCAGCTTCGTCGAAGTCCTTGATTTCGAGTTCCTCTTGTGGTTCCGTACTGAACACCTCAGCCTCATCTCCGAGGAGATTGGTGATGGTTTTATGTAGCTGGGTGGCCCCATCGGTTGCCTTGTTACTCAGGACGATGAGCATGTCCCCCGTTGGGGTTCTGCGCAGTTTGTCGACGCATTCACATTGTTCCTTACGGACGTCATTTTTCACTCGGGTAAGGATCTCCGAATACTTTTCTTCATCCTTTGGACGTATAATCAACGCATTAGGTCTAAGCGCTGCTTTCCATTCCTTCCTGTTATTTGCCTTCTTACGAGGCGGCGGCTCGGTAGGCTGCTTGTCTTGCTGCTTTTTCCCATTCTTATTCTTCATCGTTTCCCATTACGGTGGCTTAGCAGGTGGCTTGGCAGGCAGCTTCGGTGGTATTCCGTTGTGAGCCGCTTTCTGCTGCTTCGGCTTCTTCGGTGTTTGAGCTTCCGCTCCAGGAGAGTTCTTGGTACTTCGGTTTCTGCGCTGCGCTTTGCGAATCTTCCGATCATTGTCGGTCGATTCCATTTCCTCTTCCGTCTCCGTTTCATTCAGCGTCGATTCCGAGTTTGACCAGGAACGTAGCAGTAATGGTGCTGGCATCTGTGCCAGCACAATGGTGACCTGCGAGTCTGATGCTCATGCTTCATCCAATTCCCCCAGCCTCTCCATGATGTCGACGACTGATAGCATATCGGCCTTTATCGACTTATGAATATTCGGCCTGGTCTGTATGAATGAATTTAGTGTTGAAACCAGTTTGCGAAGACGTCTCCATCCATAGTTCCATTCCGTCTGTTGTTGGGCAGATAGTTTACCTGCTCCATTTGTTTTATGGGTCTGAGACCTATCCCTCCTTGTAGCACAAGAGGCCACCTTTGGATCACATGATGGTTGGCTCCTCCCACAATCCACGGAGCCAGCACCAGCCACCGGGGCTTTCACCCGATCGGAACTGACGGCGGGATTAACCTTTTCAGAGATGGCCGCATGGGAACTTTGTATTTTCTCATCACTATTCATGTTACTTTAGGCTGTTACAGGGAGCTCACCCATTCTCTTTTTTGTGGGCTGTTGTAGGAAGCCCATCCTGAGCGCCTCTTTGTTTGGTCCGCGGGAGCCGTAGGAGTTGGGCTTCTCCACTTAGCTGTCCTCGGCTCCACTCGGTAGGAAGGTGTTGGTCCGCACTGAAATAAACTGCTTCTTAGTTCAGGATGAATCCTTTAATCCCCTCCACCAACGACAAGGTCATGCAGTTCCTAGGAGAAGTTTGTATATGTGTATGCATGTTTTTTTTCGAGGTCTTTGGAGTGAATCTACCTAACCGCACGATAGTGGACAGTAAGAGCGGTGATTACTATCACACCCTGTGTGGGGCACGCACTAAACACCCCTGACCCCGGTATTTCCTCCCGATCCTTCTTTTCCTCGCGAAACCACCGTTAATTATTACTTCGCGAAGGAGGTCTCAGCTGTTTGTTCTTCCACCGTGACTTCATTCAATGTACGTCCCCCTGCCCCACTGAGATGTTGAGTGCGGGTAGGAGGTTCCAATGAATTCCTCAGCTATTCTGTAGCTTTGCGCCTACGCCGCTGTTTCCTGAGCTCCTTCCAGACTTTGGCTGCAAATTTACTCGTCGCGTCCTAGCCCGCTCATAGTAAAACATTCATCAAGTTCTCAGGCAACATCTGCCTCCCAAGTGTAGACTCCCAGACACTCCGGATCTCGCTAAAGCGAGGGCATGTGAAGCACACGTGCTCTGCGTCCTCGTCCAATCCTATGCAGATCGGGCCCTTGGTGAAATCCTCATGTTTGAATTTATGGAGATACGCCCGAAAGCACCCATGTTCCGATAGCATCTGTGTCAGCTAGTAATTGACCTCCCCAAGGTTTTGGTATAACCAGACATCCACCTTTGGGATCGGGCGATGAGTGCACCCCCCTTTGGTAGAATTGTCCCACTTCATCTGCCATCGTCTCAAACTGTTTCGCCTCTCTTCTGTCGCCAGTTCATCGGAGCTCAGCGTTCCAGATCTCTTCCGCTGGTACAAGGATCTCCGCTCCACAGCTAGTAACTCTATCGGTAATAAGAGGAATAATTAATGGGATGTTGGAAGAGTTCAGCAATACTAATTTATTGTCAAATCGCGACGCTTCGCTGCAAATCGCAGCTTCTTCAGGCTCTTGACAGGTTTAGTACGTAGTCACTATAAACTTTAATCAAATGCGCGTGGAGCAACGACAACATATTAATTGATTAAAAATTGCAAACTACTCTAACAATAACATCGGGGTCTGCAGCAATACCTGTCATTAATCACAGCCAGTTACTGTATACTGGCTGTGATTAATGACAGGTGTTGCTGCAGACCCCGATGTTATTGTTAGAGTATTTTGCAATTTTTAATCAATTAATATGTTGTTGTTCCTCCACGCATATTTTATTAGAGTTTATAGTGACTACGTACTAAACCTGTCAAGAGCCTGAAGAAGCTGCGATTTGCAGCGAAACGTCGCGATTTCACAATAAATTAGTGTTGCTGAACTCTTCCAACATCCCATTAATTATTCCTCTTATTGTTAACCATGGAAATGAACAACATCATCATCTATCGGTAATATCCCGGCGATGATGCACACTGTGTCTTCGGATACGGTACGATATGCGCTCGCGACTCACAGAGCACTTAGTTGATATAGGTGATTCTCTGTAAATTGTCATTTTTCGCACGTGTTTTTTTCAAAATTCAAACCTGTCCCGAGAGTCTTTTTTTAAATTTTGTATCATATAAGGGTACCCAAATACAGCCCTTGTACCATTGTACTACAACCCTGAGCGTGTGAAAGTAATTGAGGATCAACTGTATTCTGCCGCCACGATACTGACCTTCGAAACAAAACATAAAATATTCATGTTTATTAATTTAAAAAACTCATATTTTCCGTCGTAAAATAATTGTATTTATTAATTTAACATTTTCTAATTAATATATACTGTAACGTGTTATTTGGTTTCGACCGTTCAACAGTGGAGTTTCACCGTCTAGACGAGAAGTCACCATGTTGCGGAGCGAGAGTCAAGGGTTATTTTATTGGATATGTTTTAATTCTTTTTTTTTGCCATTTTGCATTGTATCGAGCCACATTTAGGGTCATCGGCTGACATCGATCCTGGAGTCTGCGAGGAGCTGGGACAGAGGAATCTCTGGAAAGGCCATTGTGGGGTCTGGGTGCGCCACATTCAAATTTGAAATGGTTCCCGCGTTGGAGAGAGGTTTGAGGTGCAGTCCACCGACGGCGCCAGCTACTGGAAGTAGTTGGGGAAAATGATGGTGATTGGCTGATGCTCTGAGCAGCGATGTTGGATCTCCATGCCGAACCGGAAGTTTGGGGTTCAGGCAGTGATTGAGGAATTGCTGGACTGACGGTAGACGTCCAGGATTATCGTTGAGTGTGGAAGGGAAAATCATTTGATGATTTTCCCCGAATTTTTGCAATGTGGGATTTGGAGAATTCACGCAACGGAGATGTGGCTGAGTGCGTGAATTGGAGTCTGAGTTACTGATGACTCTGGTTTGGTTGGGTTAGCAACCAATCAGAGTGGCCTGTGGATAATCCCTAGGCCAATGGGAATCGAATGGCGGGAAGAGGCACGGACGTAGGGGAGAAGCATGGGTTTTAGCCTCACTTCTTGTGTGGATGGTGAAACGGACTGTTGCTGTATTTTTGGAGATTTGGAAAAAGGAGTTCGTCGGTGTTTTGGGCACCTTTGGCTGGAGGATTATCGTGGCTTGTTCCGGAGTCAACTCTGCCCCGGCTCTTGGACTGATTTTTTTGGAACGTTTTGGAGGAGTTCTGGTGAGCGGAGGGATCATTCCAGCAGAATTTATTCTTTTGACATTCCTGTAAATTATCTGGTGCAGTAATCGGAGTTCGGTTGCTTTTCGATTTTGTCGACGTTTAGCGTCGGGCGACATGACGCCATTTTAGAGTTATTAGTTGTCGAGACGAACTCTTATTATCTGCCCGTTGTAAATTCGTTTTATGTTTAAAATGAACATTTATTATTTTTTTTATTATTTGTTTAGTACTCCTTTGTCTCAAGCAAATTCAGTGGTTTTTTATCATTAATGACTCTCGTTTCGACAAGTTAGTTGTCGACAGTCGGATGTGGACATCTCGACAGCTAGCTAACATTTTCGTTATTCAGTTGCTTTTCGATGTTCGATGTTGTTTTTATGATTTGATCAATTTCTCTTGGGGTTCGAATATCGGAATTGTTTAGCGCAAACGCCAACTAGGATTGTAGCGTCTTTAGGCGCTCGAGTTATGTGTCGTGACCTTGTGTACGGTCATTAGTATTTTGTTGTGTCTCTCTCGAGGCAATCCTACTTGTCGTTGCTGGAATCAATTCTCTCATCTATTATTCGATATTTTAAGTAATTCCTCTCTCTCGGAAAATCGCAATTCCTTCCAGTGATGTCTGATTAGTTCAGTTTGCTAGTCATTTTTTTTTTACTGTTTGACATTTTTTTTCTTGACTTTTATTTATTTGACTGATTCTATCTTTTAACTGGCTAGTAGTTAATTAATTCGATAATTCACGGTTAGGGAACTCTGGATGTATCGAGTCTTTAGTTTTCTTTGAAAAAAAAAATTGGATATTAATGTAATAAACTGTTCGAATTCTTATTAAATATTTGAGGGATGAGAAAGGGGGTGGTTGAATAAACTATTTTATTCCCCGCATTTTGGAATTTGGCGATATATCTAGGTGAGAGAACCCAGTCATTTCAGGAATCGTCAGGACAACATTTTGTGGAACCCAGCCGCCACCGCGGTTGTCTGAACTGTCGGCAGTTGTCCGTTTGTCGGAGAATTGTTAGAATATTTTTGTCGTTTATTTATTTTTCTTTTTTTTGCCCAATTCAGTCGTGCTGGCGCCCGACTTTTGTTTCGTTATTTGGTCGCCGAGGGCTGCGTATGTTCGTATCGTTCGCAGAGGTGCGAAATACTTCACAATACATATTGAGAGTAGGTATTTCATTGTCTACTCAATTACAGCTCCAATTTCATAAGGAGTATTCGAGGAAATATAGGAAATTGATGGTTTTTTATTTATTGCGTCGTCAATTAGGAATAAAATTTTGAAAACTATGTCAAACAGTTGACGATAGTGTAAATATTAATAGTGACAACATGTTAAAATGAATCAGTATTACTTAATAAGCATTATTAATTAATTTTGGGCAGGGAGTCGACCAAATTGGGATTACTGCCTCCGACTTCTGAAAATCGCGAAAATATCGTTTAGAAAAATGAAAATAAAATAAAATGTGAAAAA